AGTGTCACTCGATACGATGTGTGTCTGTGGAAGCGTGGCGGATGAGTCCTGGCTTCACTTCTCCATAGGGTCTCCTATGGACTACTGGCGCAACCCTGTCACTTTCCCTCAGGAGTTGAAAATCGATCACACGTTGAAGCTTATCGAGAAGCACAATCGTGCTCAACAGAGAGCGCGTCGAAAAGCAAAAGCACGTAGAGCAAAAGCACGTCGGAAAGAGCTCGTTGTCTCAATTGATTGAGCCACAGAAGTGAACTTGGTGTCGCTAGAGGATTCTGCACGGTGTCGAAAAGTGATATGGCGCTGGAATGTAACGAGTCCAAAGGAATGCGTACCCCGTCCAGGGTTGTGATGTTTGGTTGTTGGTGTATGGATGTTCACAAACAGTATAGCGACAATGGACCGAGCGAACACACTCAACGCTTACTTCGAAAACTTTGGACGAGACTTATCGCGAAGAGGTGGGTAGGAGACTGGAAAAGCAGCTATGCATAGAATGCAAGAGTCATAAGTAAGCATTGTCATTTCTATCTCTTCCGGCATGATCATACATTACTTGCACTTTACTGTTTAGTTCCTAAACGTATCAGAGAGAAGACAGTATATAGTTGTTCTTGCACTTGATGATTGTCCGTGTTTACAACAGTAATGCTGACGTCATGCCGCTGCAGAATTACCTCTCGGTAGAAACATCAATCTCGACTTCCAACGACTCCAGAAGTTCATATCTAGCTGCCCCGTGTTTAGGTCCGACACTGGCCCCGTTTACCCTGGCCCCCGCCATCTTTCACCGCAGTGGTGCGTTGTGTTCTCTCATCACAAATACGTCGTGAACACACCGTTTAGCTTTTTGGAGCACTATGCGCCGCAGTTGTGATAGCGCATCACCTGGCGTCAAGCTTCGGACTCGCCGTTGCCGATCTAATTCATACCACAACCCCTTCTCCACTGTGGTCGCTGTTCGCGTTCTTCCCATTCCCCAAACAGGCAGCGGGAGGAACCCTGTACAATGACGTGCCGGCAAGGCTGACAAGGTCGGCGTGTCCGACCCCGCATTGATATCATGGTCCTAGTGGATAGTTTTAGGTAAGTTAAATGGATGATATTGCCTTCGCCCAGTGGATAGTGTTTAGCACGAACACAGCGCAGCTACTCTATAAGGTCTGATCTCCTAGATGACAAGGACTTCGGACGAGTCTTCTTCTTGTTTAGGGTGCTGGAAGAGAGAGACAGTGTGTAGAAGCAAACCCGTGTTCAAGCTCATTAGGTCGTAGCACACCCATCTGGTAGACAGTCGTCTCTGACCCGGCGTTGCTGATAAGATTAGATATGCCTTAGCCTGAGACGTACGGGTGGTTACCGAGTCTATCCTTGTGACAGGCGCGGTTATTGTGGCACGAACTCGGTTCACGCCGCATGCAGCCAAGTCTTAAGGCTTGTTTACTACCCTGGTAGGCCATTGCCCGAATTGTGCAACACGTCCGAATAGTCGTTGGTAGAATAACTTTCGGCACACCGCAACGCCATAGAAGAATCCAAGTTCGGTACTTGGAATAGCAGGAACTATGTCTCCCCCATATTGTTCAGTGGTCAGACGCCTTGCTTCCGGTGAGCACCAACGTCAACTGGAGAAGCTTACCGCTACTTCGTCTGACATCTCATGAGTTGACGCTGGAAACGATTGGGTATCATTGCACCGCATCCGTAGCCTTTCGCGATTCTACCTCCACTTCAGTACCTCAAATGGACGCGAATAGAAAGGTCGTGCGCTCCTTTTGTTGGTTTGGGTGTCGCAATATCGCGAACTAGGCATCGGCTCATGCCCTGCTACTGGTGACCCATAGAGATCTTAACTTGTACGGATTATTCGGCCAGTAATTCTCGACCATGTCTTGTCATGATGCATGTGTCTTCCGCTTATGCAGCCACCACCCACTCCAATGGACTGGGACGGCAGGGTGCACGAACTGTACCACCATCGTGTTAATTCTATGCACACCATGATAATAATGGATCGACAGTCTCTCCGAACGTTTGTAGTTAGCGTATGAACCCGGTAACAAACTCAAGGACAAGCGGTGAAAGCTTTCATCGATTCTTGCCGGTAGTTCACACGTTTTTGGATGGATGTAGGCTTCAGGATCCAAACACGATGTCTTGGCCCCCAGACTTTGCGAAGGCATCGGTATACCCGTGTGATACTGGCGGCGGATAGAATACAGGCATCCTGATCCTATCCGTCTACGTCGCAGACCACATGAGCCCTGACATGGGCTGACCACGAGCCTAATAGGTTAGAGCGAGCCGAAGCAAACGGCTCACGGCAGTGACGCTTCAACGCGCACGGCTCCTGTGTCAAAAGCTTCGAGAATGCTGTCGTGTCAGTCCGGCGCTGCCGTTGAAGCCTTATTCCCAGGAGCGAACGAGTACTAGCGCCTTGCTGCAGGGCTACCGTTCGTCGCATACGGTAAGGTCGTCGGCGAAGAAAGACGTTTCGGAGGATAGACCTACTCCTGAATCCTGGCTCACACTGTTTCACGGTCTCTCCGAATTCTCTGGTTTGATGGAACGTTCGTTGTTCATGTTCCTGTGGGAACTTGACCTGCATGAGTGAGTGTCGGAAGCACGATTAGAGATTCACCCACCACGCAAAAGCATGTGCGAGCCGCCAGCACATTATATAGCCGCTTCTTAAGTCGTATATATACCCATGTCTGATCAGTCTTGTCGATGTTTCTACAAACACTTCGTAGTGCTGGCAATCTTCGCAAGCAATATCATCTCAGCTGCAGTAGACACCCTGGTCCATCATCTTGTCGCTTTGCCTGGTACTCTTACCACCATTCCTTCGTCTTACTCTCAGCCTCTTTACCTGCGAATCTCACGTCCTGCATCGTCTCACCACATGTGGACAGAATGGTGTCTAGTAATGGGGAATCGGATATTCGCCCAGACCGCATCCAAGCCCGCGAGGACCAATTCCGTCGCGATATTCGAGCTAGAAGACAGTCACCAGTCCCAGATAAACGGCTTGATCTGACAGAGCTGGGCTGCATGGGTGCTCATCTTGATCTCTCAAAGCATGAGCCTTGGCCTAGTAGGCTCGAGCTCACCGACAGCGAAGCCATGCATAGCGACCCTGTTTCCACACCAATATCCCTGGACACCTACCCTCGAGCAAGAACTGAACCAGGAAGTAGCGCTGCAGATGAATCACCCACATCCCGCGCATGTACTCCAACAGGATGTGGCGCGTATCTTCCGTCACATGAGTACAAGGAGTTCCAACGTCAAAGATCAGTCAACAGTAAGTTCACTTACAATTTTTTCGTTTGAGCGAAGCTTTGCCGAAACCTATCCTGAGACATGCTGATAGAGCGATAGACCTCCGCCGACTATCTATATCAACTACTGTTGAGCCCGAAACACAGGAAGAACATGACCCAAGCCGCCATCCGGAACAGCACGGGCGGTGTCCAGTGAGCTACACACCATCGCATTGCTCTCGAGCCTTGACGGACAGAGAGGATCGTAGTGTGAAGGACGTGGGACCGGTCTCTCCCGGACCTTGGTCGCAACTCAATCGGACTGTTGGGAAGAACGAAGATGCGGCTAAACTTGTGCGTTACACAAACTCCTGTACTCTCTAAGGGATTTTAGCTATCTCGATGTTTAGGAGGTGTCCACGTGACTATCGAAGAGTGTGTTCTGTTGAGAAGGAATCTTATCTTTATATATCGACCTGTTGTATTGTCAAACTGTTACATGTTTTCTCAGTCGCTTTGGTGGCAACAGATCTTGGGACTGTTTTCTCATTGTCGTGAACATTTTTTGCCTCGTCGTTATTTACCACTCAAGCGCATCGCTCACAGTCGAATGCGAGCAAACAACAACTGCATATCTTCCATCTCTTCCTCTACATCTTGGTCAATCAATTCGCGTCTCCAAACACAGTAGATCAGGGCGACTGTACATTTGTGAGGAGGAAATCGACGCAACGCACACGCTCAAGCTTCATGCTAAATTGTGTCCGAGAGTTTCCGACTAGACAGTGCTGCTGATCACTTAGAAGAAGGTCGGAGTATCACATAAGCAAAATGGAGGTCGCTCTCCACAGTCATGCAGCTTTGCAGTAAGCCACAACGATCCTTATCTAAAAGCTCTTCGAGGGCCTTGGAGGGTGATGACCCGACCCGAGGTGGGAACGGATCTCACTCCTCCCGAGCGGGGAACGCGATGAGCTGGTGGGGAACATACTGTTTGCGGATTTTGCTGCAGCACGCCTTGTAGATTTGCAGAAAAAAAAGTGCTCAAAAAGTAAAATCAAAGAGGGGGAGAGTGCGATCTACAGAGGAGTGTTGCGACGGCTGCGGCTACGGCAAGACCCTTGCAAGCTTCCGCAGGGCAAAATTGTGGGGCCGTGAACCGATGAGGCACAGCTGCAGTACTAAAGAAAAAGGGAACAGACATCGCCTTCCGGAGGCAGGGGCCAGAGACACTAGTCTGTCGTTCAATTCTCCTCTGTTGAGAAGGTGGTGCGGGGAGATACTCTCCCTAGGACTCCTCCCCGAGCAGAAGAAACGCTCACGCACAACATGTATCAAGCGTTCGCTATTCTACCAAGGAGTTCGTCGTGTGTTTGTGTCACTGTCTACATAGCTCTATGAGGTCAGAGAATATACTGACTATTTTTGTCGTTGGTAGCACATAGTGCTCTAATAAAGGCCGTCTTGACAACCTTGGAAATGAAAGATGTGCTGTCGTCGCTCATGTCAAGTAGACCTCTTGACACAAAGTTGATCCACGGTAGAGCTAGCGGTATATAGCTTTATCGCGAGCTTTCGTGGCTTGTTTAAGTAGCAGAATCTCTGTCCATGCGTTTTGTTGCTGGTTTTGTACCAACAATCAAGAATTCGATAGATGGCACGCGTCACGTTAGGTGTTGCTCCAGATAAGTGTTTCCAAACAAGCATTGATGTGTGCTATTTGTCCTGTTATAATTATACATAATCGTCCCTCGTACTGACCGTAGTAGTGATCGTGATATCGTTGGGATCTTTTGTCCTTGGCTCATTGTTCCATGCGTTGTTGGCGTGACTCTCCCGAAGTATCGTTTCCTCGCTCGCTGTATCACTGCCCATGCGAACAGTTGTCTGTAACACGCTCTCTCCAGGGCCCATGTATATCTTCTCTGACCTTCTGCTTCCATCCATACCGCGACTACTCTTAGACTTGGAGTAGTCTTTGAGTGGATATGAGTTTTGGCCTGAAGAGTCGCCACGGGTACCGTATCTGATGCGGACGTAAAGCGGACGGAGGACTGGTACACAGGCGCAAACAATTGTGAGAAATACTTCGGTAGAGGACCATAAAAGCATGCTAGCGGTGTCGTATACGTAGTTCTCCATGGACGACAGAGATTGTAGTTCGATAGTCCGGACAACGGAGCACGCGCCCGCGAAGATGCCGAGTGAAAGACCAGATGCGATTGCGATCTTGTCTTTACGCTTCATATTTAGTCCCATGATGATATGCCAGGCTAGTTTGAATCAGTGTCGTCCTCGAAATCATTGCGTAGCAGAGTTACGTACGAAGGAGAGCAAGAACAAAGTCCATGCTTGCAGACCAAGCACCCATGGTCAGGCCGACCTCGGTGAAGTTGAGCCAGCAGTAGCCACCCTTGATTGTTTGGTCCCACAAGAATGCCGAAGGTACACACTGTGTGTATAACAGGGTTGTCGTAATGATGCAAAGCACTGTTGTGCTGACTATACAGAACCAGAGGATAGCGATATGCCATCTCTTGAGAACGATGCGCAAGAGGAAGAGCGCTACTGAGCCTTTGGAAGCAGCTATGCCCATGATGCATATGCCTTGGCCGATGGCTTCCCACATGATAGACTTGGAGTAGTTGAGGTCAAGACGAACGATATCCGCTGTCTGTTTACCAACACCGTAGGTAATACCGACCGATATACAGCCGACATAGCCAATAAAGGTAGCCTTAAAAAGTCAGTCATAAAAGCTTACGATGAATGTTGAGATGATTGTTTGTGAAGAGGTGCTTTTGTTGTCTGGGAGTAAGCAACGTAACTTACCAGATTGACCAACATCAACACGTCGTCCCATCCGACGTTTCTGACAATGTACTGTCTCGTGTACATTCGCAATGCAACAAGAAAAGTACCAAGAACCACCTGAGCCCACATCACTCCATTGAGTATGTTCGCAAAGTCTGCTGGCTTGCCCATCTCGGCGGCTGATAGAGCTAAGGTCGTAGTGAAGACGCTTTTTTCTTCGCTTTCTGCTCTGCTGTTCCCCGGGGAGGATATCGCTGGCAGAGGTGTCGCCGAATCAAAAGACAAGTACGAAAGAGCTGGATATGTGCTACCAGGGGAAGGATGGGGTTTGGATGAGCAGCGTATCCTTGATATCGACTGCTTTATCCTCTAGATGAGGAACTCGAGTGGCGGCAAGGAGTGTCAGTGAACTGACGTACTCACAGCCTTGTTTACGCCCACGAATTGAGACACCCATGCTAAAGAACAAACATACCTGCAGCGCGTCCGAGGCTCGAGCAGACCAATGCACATCTCTCACACCTATGGGAAACTGAACGGGCCCGACCTTCCAAGCGAAAACGATCAGCTAGTGTTCGGGACCTGCATGGACAATCGAACGGGGCATAGTGTCAAAGCTTTGTTGCCATCTTTGTCGCTCTAAGTGTCCTGCAAAGAGGCACTGCGAGTGGGGACACACTCATGCCAAGCCACCGAAAAAGCATGCCACTTTCATGGCCGTAACACATTGATGTTGGTGGGTTGTTGTTGCTTTACGGTGATCCCACTCCGTCCCTTATTTCCCCCTCTCTGCAAACTAGTAGATAGGAACATCCAGTGGATTCGTTGAGAGTAAAATTGCTTTCAACACTGCCGGGATAGTTGCTCCATTCGCATATGCCGCGCCGTGATATCGTGGATCTTGCAGCTTGCAGAGCGCGAAGGATTGGGTAATTGCTTTTTCTTCTCGAGTTGGACTTAACAGGCTCCGCAGTCCAACGGGCTTCGTCGTAGCTAGGCCCGCTCCGTCTGATTCGCTGACGGTCAGCTCCCTGCCCCGACGAATGCTGTCCCAGCTGGAACGTCGACGCGGCCCCGGGAGCAGGGGCGCGTTCCTTCACCGTTCGGCAGCAACACTAGTGATATTCAGGCCCAATCAATACACGATACTCACAGTGTGCCGCTGCCGGTTGTCCCTTGTCCCGTGGGTGGAGGGCCTATCTCGTAAAATCCCGCCTCGGGCAGCCTGTGCTGTGCGTTAGTCTGGCCCATCGCGAAACCTTGGACAGTTCGTGCTACGCAAGCGGCTTCAAGATCGCATCTCAATAATTCATTCTTTCTTCAACAATCCCATGACATGCAGGTAAGGTGGTACAAAAACGTTTTGGCCTTTCCGTGGCGGGCCGTTGCCCGCGCTAGCAATCGCTGGGGTCGAGTACTAGCTAAGCTCTCTTCGGTTAAACGACCCTTAGTAGCGTTTTGACATCCGACGGATCAATTTCGGTCTGACCAGCATCGTGTGCGGAAAGGAGTGAAGGAAGATGATCCTTCGAGATTGTTTTCCAGGACTATGGTACGCGTGCCAGTCCATATTGCTCATGCAGGCACCATCAAGATCTTCATGGTGTAGTGGTGTACGCTTTGCAAAGCTTTAATACGCTCGAACCTGCAGTTTGAACGAACTTCTTTTTCCTTTCATCTCCTCCAACTCGGCAGCAGCCTGCATTTTTAGTCTCCGTTAGTACAGTGACACTCCACACATCCCGCTGTCAGTCCCCTACTAGCACGCAAATCCGCTTCCCCGATACTCACCATGGCTGCTACAACCAATCGTTATGCGTGTTATTGCGATAAAGGGGTGGCGGACAAAAGCAGTCCCGAGGTCTGCTCCATAGACGTACACAAGCGGCGCCCTGCCGTACCCTGGCAAGTCTCGTTCGGCTTCAGCGCACCACGGTCCCCAAACGGGAGCGGCTGGATTCTAGCTCCACCTCCCCATCTATCAGATGCAAGTTTGAACATGCGGGTAGTTAGCAACAGTCCCCATAAAGTGGACGGCCTGCATGGTAGGTCAAGACCTTCCAAGGTTGTCACTTACATTACCTTGTTCGTTACCCCTCCCACTTATATTCTTCTTTTCTTTTCATGAATCACATTGCATGCACATAGCAAGGTGACACGATGGCATTGATGGGGTTACTTGCGAAGGCAATCGGCCTTGGAGCAATACTTCTCATTACTCGATATGTTCTGGCTTATCTACAGTCACCACTCAAGACTATACCTGGTCCCTTCTTAGCCAAATTCTCCGATATCTGGCGTTTCCTGAATCACTATGGACAAACTCACATCGAGACACAGAGGCGACTCCACGAACAACATGGCGACATCGTTCGTCTTGGTCCCAACACCGTTAGTGTTGCTGATGCTAGTCTGATCAAGACCATTTACAACACCCGTGGAACGTACTTGAAGGTGAGCATGTACAGTGACAATGTTGTGTATGATGGTCGCTAACATTACAACAGAGCGATTACTACGTAAGTTTCAAGCAGTCACTGATACCTATGCATCATACTGATCACGTCAGACCATTAACGATGCCCTTCAAGACGGTCACATCATCCAGAACATCTTCAGCACACGCAGCAACGAGTTCCATTCCAAAGGTGTCAAGCCTGTTCAAAAGTTGTACAGTCTTCAAAATGCTCTTCAAATCGAAAGCATTATGGACGACGATCTGCGTACACTATGCACTCAACTTGACGTTCGCTTCGTGGAAGGTGCTAACAAGGACAAGACATGCGATATCGCTGACTGGATCTCATTCTTTGCTTGGGATTTTCTGGGCGATATGACTTGGAGCAAGCGCATTGGCTTCATGGAACAGGGTACGGATGTTGGCGATATGCTTGGGACCGCTGAACGTGTGATGCGCTACTTCTCAGTAGTATGTGCTTGACAAGTCGTCACAACTTCTACAGTATGTGAATCTCTACTGACCCCATCTAGGTTGGTCAAATTCCCTCTCTCGACAAATGGCTTGGAAAGAACCCCAGTTGGCCACGCTCGCTATACAAGTTCGATGACTTCTCTGTCGCTGCCGGTTTCTCCGTGGAGCGCTTTATGGAACGCATGCAGAAACCTGAACTTGGCGATGGGAAGAAAGACTTCCTCAATGGCTTTCTCGAGGCAAAAAAGGAGTTTCCAGAACTTGTTACTGATAATGAGGTCATCGGATATATGATCATCAACGTGAGTGTCCCATAGCTATGTTACGATAAGAACATGACTGATTCTGCTCCTACAGATTCTCGGTGGTGCCGACACCCTCGCCATTGTGATAAAGGCTATTTTCTACCACATCCTCAAGTCACCAGCCTCGAAAGCGCGCCTCGTCGAGGAACTCGTTGCTGCAAATCTCTCGTACCCCGCACCTTATACCACAATCGAGCACCTACCTTACCTCGATGCATGCATCAAAGAGGGCCTCCGTATGCATCCCGTTGTTGGCCATATTCTCGAGCGCGTGGTACCTGCAACTGGTCTCGCGTTACCTAATGGAGAGACATTACCGCCTGGAACAATTGTCGGTGTGAATCCATGGGTCGTTCATTACAAGGAGAGCATCTTCGGCGCAAAAACCCATGAATTCCGGCCGGAGCGCTGGCTGCAAGGCGAACAAGAAGAGATTGGCGCTTACGAGGCCAGGATCAAGAAGATGAAAGATGCGGACTTGTCATTCGGAGGCGGAAATAGGATATGTATTGGCAGGCCATTAGCTCTGGTTGAAGTGTACAAAGTAGTTGCGACGGTGTTCGGTAGATATAAGGTATGCATTGCCCACCCCCAACATGATACACGAGAGCTGACGTTCCGGCAGATTGAGCTTGAAGACCCGAGCAAAGAATGGGATCTTCACAAACAATGGTTTGTATGGCCGCATGATATCAAGGTCAAACTCAACCCACTTGAGAGCATCAGCGCACCCTGATTGTCTCTAGACGGCTATCTTACATGGAATGTAACAGGTACGGAAGGTTGGTGGTGATCTGTAGTTTGAGCTTCCTATATATCACTGAAATTCTTATTGCGATGATTCTTCGATCCAGGCGGACTGTTCCATGAAATTTGCGTGTCATCTGCTATCTGCCGCGCGGTTCTCGTTTACGTGACGCATGCGCATAACGTGCGTTCGGGATGTATTTGCAGCTATGTATGTAGTTGTTTAGTTGTGGAGGCTGGCGCTCCATACCCCGTCTCCGTGCACGAAACTTCGCGAGGTATGAAGGCAGCTAGAATGCGTTGTTGTGTTTGCTTGGGTATATTACGATTCGCGCACGCGATGCTAACATCATAGGGATTCTTAGTCTATCGCGCTAGCCACTTCGGGTTTGAAGTGTTTACTCTTCGGCTAGGGCTGGGTTCGCCAACACTTGTACTGCATTCGAAGGTCGCTATCATTCGCAGCTTTACGTAGTGTGGAATATTCAATCACTCGGAGCATCCGATTCCAGGCGAGATGGTACGATTATCAGGACTTCAGAAGGACGTATTGTCGCTCTACCGACAATGCTTAAGAGCTGTGAAGCAGAAGCCAACGGTATGCTATTCAGATGCCTCCAACTTGACAACCTACTCATACAGCTGTAGGAGACGCAGTCACATTTCCGAGATTTTGCAAGGTACGGCAAGCTCAATAGAGCAACATGCTGGTGTGGCGGCTGATGATGATACGTAGATCTGAGTTTCACAAGCATAGAGACGTCGGTAAAAAGGATTTTGGCACCATCGAGTACTTACTTAGAAGAGGAAGAAATCAATTGGAAACATGGTCTGAGCCAGGTATCCGAGACATCCACAGGTAGCGGGAGAATGCCAGATCGAAGTTTGCACGTCGAAGCGGCGCATTGCTGGGCGGCGAGCCAACGACACATCAATACAGTTCATCAGACCAGCACCATGCAGCTCGTTCCGCCATCGCGGGGTAGTGACATGTTCCTTGGACAACTCTTGCATCACATGTTGCTTCCGCGCTGGAAACTTCGAGCATCACCATCACGTGACCTGCTCTGAGCCATTACTCTGAACTTTCTAGTTGGTGCTTGCCCCCTCTCGAAGCATGATCTTCCGGGCACATGCCATTACGGCTACTTCCTCCAATTACTGGAAGCTTCTCATCTCACGATGTCTTCTGATCGCATACGAAGACATGACGGCAAACATCGTGTTCGAAAGCTCTAGAAACTCCCCGAGCCATCTCCGAAGCTTCTTGCAACATCTTGGTTTACGCAACACCAATGTTCTCCGCACTCTGCGATGATTCGAGAACCATGTCCCTCGATTATATATAGCCTTCGAGGCAGCTCCTGTAGTTCATCATCAGAACAACAAAGATCAACAAGTCTTCTATGCAATCACTTCGCTCAACTATCCGACGAGCTCCTCAACAACTCAACCGCATCACCAAGCCTACGATTACAACTACTCGACACTTTACCACTACACCAGCGACGATGTCTCTCTTCCCACGATTCACTCAGGAATTCGCTCCTATCTTCCGTCTCTTCGACGAGTATGATAGGCAAGCCTTCCGCAATATCGACCGGGAATTCAACAACATCAGATCCTTCACTCCCAAATTCGATGTGAAAGAAACGAAAGAGGGTTACGAGCTTCACGGCGAACTTCCCGGTGTCGAGCAAAAGGACATCAACATCGAATGGACCGACAACAACACGCTGACCATCTCTGGTCGCCACGAGCACGTCCGCGAGGAAGGCCAACGTCCTCAGGGTTTCATCGAAAACGGCGAATCCTCTCAGCAGAAGAAGCTCGGCCACCAGCCCACCGTTGAAGACGACCCCAGCGAAACCAACAACAAGGTCGCCAAGCAGTCCGAGCACAAGGACGTCTCCAAGCATGATGAGAACAAGGCAAAGTATTGGGTCAGCGAGCGTTCAGTCGGAGAGTTCCACCGATCCTTTGCCTTCCCTGCTCGTGTCGATCAAGACAGCGTCAAGGCTAGCCTCAAGAACGGTATCTTGAGCATCCTCGTTCCCAAAGCCCAGGCTCCTCAGCCTCGAAAGATCAGCATCGAGTAGATTGACCTGGCATAACCGAACGACGACGAATTACGACTTCCCTCTTTTCGATCAGCGAGCGTGGCATAGCAATGGAGTTTATGACGGGTTATTGTAGGATTGTTTGCTCTGTTTTGTACCTGTGGTGATTGCAGTATTCGCTCTCTACGTGGGTCAGTAATATCGAGATTGTAATTAGTTTGTCACAATCAAATCATTACAACTTCTACGAAATGTCGGTTTAGTGATGGTGCTTTTGATCTTCTGGGCTACCATTCGAGTTTCTTTGCAATCGGCTTTCCTAGTCTAGTATAATACCCGGAATATCAATACCACAGCTACAGTTCAAGATCATCTGCTATACAACAATACTCCTGCTCTATGGATGGTATTGGCTTGATGGGGACTAATCGAATTGTAAACTGGACACCAGCTGGGCTGTCGGCTCAACAAGCCTGGGACGCGACCAAGCTCATTGCTTGTTCCATTGAAAGTTGATGGTGGTAATGGTACCACAATCTTTTGGTCTTGGTTTGACCTTCTACTAGACGACAATTCACCACCGATTTTGAGACAAGTAATGGCACACGAAACCTGTCTCCTTCCATTCTGTTGTACTTTATACTGCATAGACAAAATATCGTGAGCCGTACATACAAGGCATGCCTACTCTAATGGCTGTACCCAGATGTAAACATTCCAGTCACGCCCGAGTGCGGCAGTGACCTTCTCGACTCCTCACGAAAGCTCCTTACCTTTTGCTCTGGTAATTACATGGAGGACGAATGTGTGATGCGAGTAGCCCCAGATGGTGTGGTTCTGGCTTGCCCAAAAAGATTGGTCATCACGTGCTTCATCTGTGGCGTGCCATCGTCCTACATCACGACCAGCGACAAAAAGAAAGATCTCGCAATTGTGGAGAAGGATGTTATGCATCCTCCGGGAGTCGAACCCGGGCCAATTGCTTGGAAGGCAATTATCCTACCGTTGGACCAAGAATGCTTGATGAAAAGACTCACGTTTATGCGCTTTATCTAGCAAATACAAATTGAAACGCAGCGTTTCGCGCAGGCTGGCGTCGACATTCCTTGTTGTCAAGCATTTGACGGACGATTTCAGCCGGCCGGACATGTTCGTTTCTGTGGATATGGGCCTTAGCGTCGGAATAAGGGGTAAACTCCAACCTTAGCGCTAGACAGCGCAGCCGTCTAGTTCACAATACAATGAGCTTGACCAACCTGAATTTGGGTCACATACACAAGACTGAAAGCCAAAACCAATGATCTTCTTGTGAGCTGACATCTCTAGGTGGTGGAAAGCCTGTGAGCCCATTGTTCATATTTATGAGTCCAAGAACCAGGCTCATCATTTGCTTCGATGGAATCAATCTATTTTAATTCCTATCTATCACACCGAGCATCGTGAAATAAACGCGTGCCATGTTCTAATAGCCATAAGCCTTAGCAAAGAGATCGCTTTAATCTCCTGTTCTCGAATTCTCGATCTTGGTTACGATCAAGTCGGTAGCCCCAACCTCTGTCAACTTGTCCATAGCAATAGCGATATCTTTCCTCAACACCATAGCCTGAACAGCCACCCAGCCATCCTCTTCCAACGCGTTGACGGTGGGAGCGCGGCGTCCGGGAGTAATCTTGCGTGCGATATCGAGCTTCGATCGGTCGATGTTGTAGGTGCACAGGACGTACTTTTGTGCAGCTATGAAGAAGTTAGCCACGCCGTACCACGCGAGAGATCTGATGCTACTTACTGATAACACCCTTTATCCGAGCTGTGATCAGCTCTACCAGCTTGGGGTCTGATGGGTGCTTCGACTTGATGAGGATAGCACTTGATGAGACGACTGTAGAGATGGCCTTGAGACCAGCTGCGCGCATTGTCTCACCCGATTCCACCAAATCGACGATACCGTCTGCGACGCCCAATGCGCACGCCGCCTCGACACTGCCACCAACGTACTTGATGACTGTCTTGAGTTTGGCATCACCATTGGCCTCTCCGTTTGTGTTTCCGGCCTGTTCGGCCTCTAGTTTCCGGAAATACTGCTCAGCCAAGTTGGTGAAGCTTGTAACAACGTTCTTGCCGATCAAGTCTTCCGGCTTTGCCAGGTCACCCTTTGCAGGAACTTGTACCTGTAGACTGCACTTTCCGAAATCGAGATCTAGGACCTCCTCTACACCGCTGGTAGCAGTAGGCGGTGCGACGCACTCATGTTCTGCTACTTGGTCGCGCCCTGTTATGCCCAAGTCTACGCGACCCTCTCCTACGAAAGTTGGGATATCAGCGGCAGGCAGAAACACAAGAGCGAGCGGGTGGTTCTTGACGAGTGCGATATCGAGACGCGAGTGTCGGTGGAACTGGATGTCGGAGCCGTGGAGGAGGTCAAGACATGCTTGGTGGAGGCGGCCCTCTGTGATGTTTGTCAATCTATGACCTCTGCCAGTAGTGTGTCGACGACGTACTCTTAGGCACCGCAAAGAGCAGGCGGTCGTTCAAGCTGTTGCCCAAGAGGTCAGTCATGAACGGAAGACTCCTGCTGCCCTGGCGCGCTCTTTGCGCGATTCGCTCATTATCACTTGCGCCATTGGTGTAACCCATTGTGGTAGAAGAGGCTTATCAGAAGTAGGGAAAAGAATGGAGAAAGGAGACAAGCGGAACGTACGAGTTGACGAGATCCATCCTTCTGAATCAAGCACGCAATTGCTGGGGCTTGTAGAATGCGAACGCGCGCTGTGCACCCTTCAACAAGGCTTTGAATGGGGAATTCTGCGACAGGCTAGGCACGAGGTCCACTTCGGCAATTGCAATTGGGCACAAGGTCGCTGCCGTGGAGGTGGCTAAATGCGCGGACAGCGTCAGAGCAGATATGCAGGCTTGGATGTGTGGGTATGTGTGTCGTTTTGTAGTGTACAAGATTGAGGCGCGTCTCGACTTAGTGACTCAAGGAGGGGTACGGGCTACACGTGTGATGCGCCAAAGGCTGTGGAACCCTCAAAAACTTGATACCTAAAAGTGCATGTCAATAGCATAGAGGCCGTGCAAACAACAAGACCACGATTGGTGCAGTAAATCTGGTTACCGCGACCGACCTGCGGCTTCAATTTTTTTGCGGGATGACGTTCCATCAACACATGTTGCCCCGCGTTGCGATGCGTCGGAGGTTGGCGACGCGGCATTGGCCGGCATCAACTCACTTGCTCAATACGGTCCACTATCGATTTTGCGTTGTAACTTGAACGTAATCTAGACCTTGAACGTAATATCATGCTCGATTGTGTGAATCAGACATCTACTGGTATCTATCTATGATGCACCGCCTATGTGTCAAACCCATGCCGCTTCGTCTCGAAATTCGATTGTGAGATAGACAGGCCAAGCGCAGACTGCCATAGACGCATGCTGACTTTTCATTCCCGAAAAACGCCATCCGCGACTCCAGACTACCGGATGGTTCGGTAGGATGTGATCGTCTCGCACTCGAGAGGAGATTGCGACGGGGGAAGGCGTGTGAATATAAAGCGTCGTCGTGCCTCACATGAAATCGTCACTGTACATATGTTAGTACCTCTAGGACTCCTACGGAATCCGACATGACTCACTCTCCAAAGTCCTCATCATCATATGCCCTCGTGTCTGCCCTGACACCAACGTCTCTGCTCGCGTTGAGCGTAGTCTTGGTCTTTGCCGCCTTTGTCTTCTTTCCTCCCTTCTCAGCAGCCTTTTCCTCCTTCATCTTCTCGTTGCTCAGTGTGGTCAAGCCGGATGCAATCTTCTTGATCTGCTCACTCGGCAGGTCCTTGGCGATCTGCTTGGTAAACTCCTGCAGGAAAAGCGAGTATTGTCCCTTCTTAGAGTTGGCAGCAATCAGAGGTGTGAGTGTCTCTCGGAGCTTGGTGAACTGGTCTTTTGTGTTGGGATTGAAGATGGAGAGTGAGGACAGGTCGATGGCATTGCCCGGGTTGCTCTCGTCGGTGACGGTGATGGCCTTGCCAGCACGGGTCTTGTTGCTGACGCTCAAGTCGCCAAAGAGTTCCTCGGCTTGGGCGCGCGAGGCGTCAAGCTCTGCCTGGCGCATTCGTTCGCGGCGCTCGGCCTCGGTCTCTTCCTCTTCAGATTCACCATCCTCTTCCATCTGCCGCCGGCGTAGTGCTGCCTGCCTGTGCTCCTCGATCCGCTGCGCCTTGGACTTGTGGTTTGCCTTTGCTTCTGCGTCTGCCTTTGCCTTTGCCTCGGCGGCCTTCTTTGCCTTCTCGCGCTCGACTTCTGAGTCCTCCGCAGCGTCCCATGAATCTAGTACCTGTTGTGTCCATAGTCAGCACATGTAGCCTTGTATGGCGGGGCTTGAATCGTGCAAGCGCGGGGCATAGTGGGCTGACGCACATCGTCATCTTCTTCTTCGTCGTCAAATTTGCTGCGGCGGGCGATAGGCGCTACCTGTGGCGAGGTAGGAGGAGAGCTGCCTTCTTCTTCGTCGTCTGCAACATACGTTAGTCCCAAGCCTTCACGATTCCATCTTGAAGCGCGCGCAGTGGCATCGAACATGACGTACCCCACTTTCCTGGTGCCATGGTTGCAATCGTTTATAAAGAGACGGGGTTTGTGCGTAGTCTAGGCTGATGTATCCAAGGGTCCTGACAGTAGGGCAGGGTTTTATAGTCGAGTGATGTGGAAGAAAGAAATGGTCTAAAGTTGACTGAGGCGCGAAACAATGGTTGGGCTCACCATCGCGCGTGGCTCGCTTCCGATCTACCTAAAAATTCGCTGCCCAATCACATAGGGTGCGCCACATTCACTCTTTCTCACTATGTTGCAAGTCTTTTATTGTTAAACCGAGCTGTGGCGTATCGTAGTTCAACCGCAGGCACCTTGCAGCCGGATCGTATTAGCCATCTCATATGTGCAAGACATTAATCCTATAACCCTTCCTTTCACGCCTCCTTGAGGCTTAAAACATAATAGATCCCCCACATGCAGCAAAACAAACAAGGAAGTATGAACAGAAGACGAAACCTAAGACCTGCTTGAACGTTGCCACAACACATCATCAGCAAAAAGGTTGATTAAGAGAAGAGATCCAGATTTACCGCTCAGGAACCTCCCAGGGCCTCCAGAATTTCCACCCTTCTCTGACTTCTCGAACACCCTTCCGTCTCGAACTCGACACTCCGACCAGTCTTTCAATGCCGATAGTGCCCTCAGCCCGAAGAAACTTTTCTTGGTCAATCTCCTCCCCACCTTCCTCTTCATTGCCATTGTGTAGTACTGCAGGCCAAAGCACACCCACGCCGTCACCAGCAAGCGTCGTTTCAAACTTCTCAAAGCCTTCATTCTCCAGCTTTACCTCGAGGGAGTCAAGAATCTTGTATTTCAGCTTTGTACCATTAGATATTATGGATGCGCCACAGTCGATATCCGCTTCATCAGACGTGTCAGATTCGTCAGATGAGATATCGTGGTGTAGACCATTTGCGTGGCCGTTGGTCAGCGCTGGGGGCTGGGGCTTGAGGATAGTAATGGCGCATCCTCCGCCTCCCGCGCCTGTGAGCTTTGTCCACCCGATACCAGTGTGGTCGATGATTTCGCGGATACGCTCGAGTTTGGGATGTGAGACGCCTAATGAGACGAGTAGACCATGGTTTATCGTGACGAGTTCGCCGAGGTGTTTGAGTGCGTCGGGGGAGGTTGCGTCGAAGTCTGGTGATGTGAGTAGTTTGTGTGCAGATTCGGTCACTAAGCCGATGGCATTGAGGATGTTCTCTGTGAGGGCGGGGTGCACGTTGCGTAGGTTGGCGACCTTGGCGACTTCGGTGGCCGTGCTGCGAGATTGTCGTGTGTTGACAAGCAGCAGTGGAAGCTCAGGAAAGCTATGCAGCGGTATGACTAGAGGTGGCTTGTCGTAATCCCTTCGCTGGAACAAGACTGCTTTACCACCTGAGGAGACGGTATTGTCGACGCCTGAGGGATTTCCGTGTATGCACATCTCGCCGACGAACGCCCATCGGTTTATGCGCTCAATGTTGAGCTCGCATTCTTGTGGCGGCTGATCCTGATGGGGTCCGCTGAGTGCACGTATCTGCAGAAGCATTGCCGTACTCAAACAGACGGATATACTGGCGCTGCTGCCCAGGCCTGCACCAATGGGAATTGTAGATCGTAAAGTATAAACACACGGGGGCACTTTGCGGGATGCGAGAGAAAGGAAGAGGTATAGGAAAGAACATGCAGAGGCATGGTGGATCTTGCGTATCGACTCGGGGGCTTTTGGCGAGACTTCATCGATAAAGGGTTGTATGGCGGCCATAAGGTCGGGATCCAGAGACGTGACGAGGTCGTAGTAGTACTTCTTCTTGCCTGATTTAGAGAAGCTGTCCCAGGGCAGGTCGTCGATGTTCCAGGTATGCTCCATCTGTATGTCGGGGAAGCGCAGCTTAACGGTCCGATTCGATTTGGAGAGAAACGAGACGTGGAGATAGGATCGGAGCGATATGGCGGCGGCGATAGCAGCCTAGAGAACATCAGCATCCATCTTGCCATGGTTGTCGTATCGAACCTACCTTGCCATGTACTACCGCGTGTTCTCCGTAGACGATGACCTTGCCTGGTGCGGAAACCATGAAAGGAGGCATCATAGGCGACGACTGCTTCCTGAGCAATGCCGGAGCGCCATTCGGCTTTGTGGTGGAGATGGAAGGCATATTAGAGCCCAATTGCGCGGGCATCGAGTCTGTGGGCGAGGGTTCGGGTGTTTGAGTGGAATGCGACGACGTGCGCGGGTGAAGGCTCGCTGCGTTTGGGTTAGCCATGATTTGGGCCTTTTGGAAAGAGTTGTCTTACGTGGCGCGACAACAGTATTCCTACGCATGCTGCTATTTGCCGCCATGGCTGAGAAAAGAAGAAAAGTGAAAGCAACAAGAGAACGTGAGTGGAAGGATTAGGGAACTGCCAATGGCAAAGGAGGCGTCGTGCTCAACGGTCGGGCCATGTACCAAACTTGGGCGAGGTCATTATACATGGGCTAAGTCTACGGCGGACTAGTTGATCAGCTCCACCATGCAGGAACTGTCGGGGTTAATCTTACATCCCTGTTTTCTAGAACCGCCCTATGGCTGCGCGGACATTTCCAAGACATGCACTGCCGTCACCATCTCGCATTACGTCTGTACTGCGTAACACGACGTAGTGCTGGACGTTGGCGCAGTCGTGGGCTGCAGTTGCTTCGCATTCTTCGACACAGTCACGCGAACAACAATATCAAGGCGACCCCTTGCCCTTCCGCACTCGTCCTTCGCAGCCGCAGTAAGCTGAAAAAGCGGCCCAGTGGCATGGCACTAGAGACTGATAGTTTAGATGCGGGGAACTTTCACATCATGTTAACTGTAAACCGCAAGGAGCACGATAGCACGACGTAGCCGTCGGGGTCCGACAAATCGTCGGAATCCGACATTGACGCGAGGCACAGCCACAACAGGCAACGCAATCGAGGCACAAGCATCAAGACTATAGCCTAAACTTGTCGTCGGTGGCAGGTATTCGTATGACCCGTATAATGATCTCCAGATTGTAAATATGATTCTAGCAAGTGCCTGCCCAACAACCAAATCCAATAACTCCTCGCTATGCATGTACAGTTCGGATGGAAGGAATCTATGATGGTGTTTTGATCATAAAAATCTACAAACGTATTAGCAGAGATCAAGTAACAATTGGAAAATGTAGACATACCTCTTTCATGGCTTGTGCATCCATAGTCGCAGCCTTCTTCTGACGGATCCATTTCTGCCTAACAGCATGCATGCCTCTTGGAGTGTATGATAGACCAGCAGGTACCGGTGTGGATGTTTTTGACAGAGGAACCGACGAGATCGTTGTCGGCGTGCTCTCGTCTTCCTCGCTTTCAGAGCTGGAGTCGTCCGAGCTGTCCTTTTTCGCTGCTTTCTTGGCTGCTTTCTTCAGAGCCTTCTTCGCTTTCTTCTCCTCCTTGCGTGCTTTCTTCTCAGCTTTCCATTGCTCTTTGTCCGTAAGCGGTTCGGGGTCAGATGCCGGAGCAGCGACATCGTCAGTGGAGGATTCCGCATCTGATGAGGACGCGCGCTTTGACTTCTTCGACTTGTCCTTCTTCTTATCTTTCTTATCCTTCTTGTCTTTCTTGTCCTTCTTGTCCTTCTTCGATTTCGACTTGTCGCTTCCCTTCTCTGCTTCGTCGCGCAAGTCCTCGCTCTTCTTCTTGCGCTTCACCTTGAGCTCGTCGTCGGTGCGGTCATCGCGCTTCCTCTTCTTATCTTTCTTATCCAATGCGCCGTCGTCGCTCTCTGGCTCAGACTTGATCTCAGACTTGATCTCCACCTCCTTCTTGATATCGGAGCTCTTCGTGATCTTGTCGCCCACCAAAAAGCCGCCGCTAACAAAATTCATCATGCCGTACTTGCGGTACACGAACGCCCTTTTCTCAATCTCCTCTCGCCTTTCTTCTTCCTTCTTGACCTCGGCCTCATTGCCATTCAGACGCCCAAGAATGCTCTCTAGTCCTGCAAGACCAAAGTTTTCAGCGCGCTCACTCCCTCGCTTTGCGCCCAAGCCAAGATTATCGTCTTTGAGAAACACGCGAATATGCGATTGCGAGGCAGCGGTATAATGAGCAGCATGGGAGGCATCCGTCGCACCGAGAGAGTTTCCGGGCTGCCATCCTTGCGAGGTCAATATGCGATGGCCGAAGCGCGAGGTGTTGTTTGCCCAGTTAGTGTTCTGGGGATCGTTGGAGATCTTCGTTCGGCTGGTCTTGCGTTAGTTTCGTGGAGGTCGGCCGAAGCCAAACTGGCAGACATACTTCTTCGGCGCTGCGAGACCCATGGTAAATACTGAACAGACTGGACGAGGCTGCGATTGTCGAAGGGAAAGGCGGGAGTCCGCAAACACGACCAAAAATTTGTGGATGCCCGCTAGCGCGGAATCTTGGCGCTATGTGGGGAAGCCATCTCCCCCATCTCCAAGGCTTCAACCATTGCTCTCTAACTGGCAAGCTCTCACCACTTGAGCTGAAGCAAGGAATAATGCTTCGATAACGAGTCAATCGATCGCAGTCTTGATCTACGCTACTAAATTTCAGCACTCACCACCAGCACCCATGGCTCCGACGCGCGCACCCGAGAAATCCACTTCCATGACCGCCTCCATGGCCACCATTCGCCGGAGTGCACAGCAGTCTCGAAGACAGATTACCGATGAAACAGAGGAGCTCGAAAACTCTGCAGAAGCCAATGGTGTGGGTCGCGATATGAATGCAACACACGAAGAGACGGAAGCATCGCAGAACACCTCCGATGGCCCGCTGGACCACCTGATGGCGAAAATGGTAGACGACGTATGTTAGATGGAATCATCAACTACATACCACCGTCTCTACATTCCTACCAGTGGCATAGCACGCCTGATTAGGAGGCTTTGAGAAGCAACATGCTAATTCTGCGCACAGCAACGCAAGCGGTACGACGCGTCAAAGAACAACGTAGGTAGAGCTTACAACAACCATTACCAAAGCGTCGAAGATTCCATAAACACCGTCTTTGACACACATGTAAGAGAGACGTGGGTCACGCAGTATTAAAGAGATGGTGCAACCCCGCAGGTTAACAATACCTCAGTACAACAGCCCACCAAGCGCAGCTCAAACGCCTCCAAGAATTCTTGGACCAAAAGGCTGCCATTGAAACCGCTATGAGGAAGCAGTTGGCAAGCTTGCAAAAGATCTACGATGCGCACTCTCGTGATCTGGAGGCGGTCATTGATCGCCGACTGAGAGAAATGAAGTGACCCTGATACGTCTAGGAACACCAAGGGCATGCAACCTTCTTGCAAGAACAGCACTCCTTTACAGGATTTGGTTTTCCATTCGAAGCGTTGAGGGCAAAGTCACTGCAAAACAACAATAAAATGTGCTAGTAAAGGAGACACCAGATATGAAGATAATATAATTCGATTCCAGGTATCATAATAACAAACCACCCAACACATTCCAATCATCTTGCGCTTTGAAAAAGATTACCATATCATCCAGGTAGACTCAGGCTACGCGCAACGCTCAAGTCTATGCAGTCACTGCCCAAACACCATAAACGCCAACATCATGCATGTCACCTCCGGTACTCCGGCAAGGCTTCGCTTTCCCGTCTGTGGTCCTGTAGCGTACCTTGCGTACTTCGGCCTGGACGCACAGCACCTACCAGATCTTCGTCGTCGTCGTTCAGCATAGGTGCCGAAGGTGCCAACTGTAAGCTTTGCATTCTGTCTAGCGGCGGTGCTGAAGGAGCGTGCGATGGTTCCCCATCTTCATCATGATCCGTAGGGGGCGCGCTTCTTTCCATTTCCAGTCTCCGCCGTGTCATCTCTTGCTTGTCGTCGGTTGGTTCGACATGTGATGATGAGCTAGCGACGTACTCAGGCGCCGACCCTTGTACTGTGCTGGGTGACTGCGGTGGTAGCGGCGGTAGTGGTTTCGACTGGTCGTTGTTATCTTCACTAGTGGATGGTTCTAGGCGATTTGGATGTATGGTATGCGAGGATTCAGTCCTTATGGTTCTTGTCTCATCGTCCGTAATGTTCGTAACACGACGCTGCAAAAGCGGTGCCGGAGTTGTGCGCGACGATAATAATGGCGATGAGGCAGCACGGAATGGGGGTGGGGGATGCGCCGGAGTGGAAGAAGACGAAGATGCTGCGACATAAGGGGGGTTTGGATCGTCGTCTTCCGGTAACAATGGCGCCGACGCTGGTATACCGTATTGGACCGTTCCTGAAGGCGCAGATGGTCCGGCAGTATCAGGCGGCTGAGAAGGCAATAAACGCTCCTCTGCTCTTCGTAATCGCTCTTTCTCTGACATTCCTTGTTCTTCCTCGGGAACAGCTGCAGGTACCGGGAAGGATGCAGCTCCGCTTGTACTATGTTGTTCGTACCCAGGAACTTCATAATACGTTGGATCGTAGTTGTAATCGTAATACTGTCCGTTCTCGTCTTGCTCGTAATAGTACTGATCGTAGCCGTGTTCAGCGTTCGGCTCCATGTGCCCCCCGTAGGCGCCGTTGTTGTCGACCATTTGTTCTTGAGTTTGTTTCTTCTTGCCATTTCTATCGCTATCCCTGGTACCGATAACAACTTCGAACAAAGCAGAAACGATGCCCTTTTCGCGGCGAATCTGATCGGTATCCACAAAATTGCCGCCCCAGGTCGAGAACATGCTGCCAGTAGCATCGTCGCGTGCCATAGCCGAGGTACCACCAGCTGCTGAAGGTAGGTTGACAAGTCCAGCATTAGATACCATTCGGTCGAGGCCTGTCAATTTGCCCTGTATATCCACGACTACCTCGACGTAGTATTTGAAGGATATCATTGCGCCCGGAACATTTGATATTGTGGGAAATGCCTCATCGGGCACACGCACTGTACACTTCACTTCGGCCATTAACGTCCTAGGATCGACGAAGAGCGGTGCGAACGATTGGCATAGATCTTTGCGAAACAAATGACTAGATCCAGCCGATGAGAGCGACAAGCCCCCCAATCCAGTTCTTGACTTTGGATAGTAATCTTCGGATTTGGTCTTGTCGCCTTTGCTGTTGGGTACAACAGGTAGTGCAGGATGCATATCAACTCTCGCTTGACGATACAGCGTGATGATAATGCCTTTCAGGCTCCGTATGTGCTTTGTATGGTTTACGGTCACTTTAATCGGTATTTGGTCGCCTCTAAGAAAGCCTCCCTTGAGTACGTCGATTGTAGCTGTAATCGTCTTTCCTTTCAGGGTCGTCCGGCTTCCATTCTGTGAGCCCGATCCATCTGTAGCTGTGTTGACTGAGCGAATGCCATACTCAGTGCCAGAAGCGTTCCCGCTACTCCTCTGACTCTCATAGCTCACGTCGCTAGGTGAGGGGCTTCGTGGGCCCTCTGTCTCCTCGATGGTATTTGTTGCTTCCAAAGAAGACCCTACTGGCTGAGGTTCTGAAGTAGAAGGTGTGTGTGATGCTTCCTCGGTTGGCCGTTTCCGCGTTGACCTAGCACGCGTTCGTCTAGATATAGGTTCCAATGAGATGACACGGGGCTTTAGCGGCGGTACGGGTGCGATGTCGACTGATTCGGTAAGGTAAACCTTCGTATCGCATGACGCGGTCGGAGACATGGTAGTGGGGCGGGTCAAGGTAGCGTTGAGCATATAGGAAATAGTTCCGCGCTCAAACTGTACCTTATTGTCAGCGTGTTGGTCAATTACAGCACTGGATTATTGCTTACGTCGATGCTGCTGGGCAAGCCTTTGGACGGAAACTCGAGTTCGAAATTGAAGTGGTACACGCCCTCGGACAGTCTCCCCTCGCCGCAAAGCACAACCTCGTCCTCGAACAGCGAAACGAACCCATTGCCAAAGTAACTGCCTGCCTTCTTTCCTCTCCCAGAGCCGACTGTTGAACAATAGTTTTTGTACGCGTCCCCCGGGGTATTTGGGTTCTTGAACACCTGGGCATAGCCATGTAGGGAGACGACCAAATGAGTGATTCTCAGGGGTTTGACAATCTTGATAATGACAGTTCCGCTGATGATATCTCCTGGAGTGTAATGCCGATGCGGGTCGTCAGACTGGATATAAAACTCGGTGTAATAGCGAGTCTTGGAGGTCAAGGGCGATTTGAGCCGAGATAGAAACGATCTGCTCGACACTGGAGAGGACGGAGTGGCGGGTGTACGTGTCTGGCTGGAAGTCATACTCCGTGTACCACGCACATCATGCGGCTACCCGCGATATCGACAACTGTCTGGGGGAGCCCTCGCGACTATACAGAGGCGCCAAACCGAGCTCGCCGCTGGAAGGGCCGAGAAGGGCTATTGCGCAGGGGTGTGAGGTGTAGGTACCGGTATCGGGAAGCACGCGCGACTGGCTGGCTGGCTGGCGACGGGTGAATCGCAGAAACGAGCTGGCGTGATTAGGCACGGCGGTAGGCGCAACGGGGACGATGAAGGACGCGGTCAGGTGTCCGGCGTATGATGTTGTGGTTCTCGGGCGGTCGCTTCAGGGCTGGCGCACGCAACGGCGACGCGCAACTGTCTCAGATGGACGGGGGGCTGTGGTGGTGCAACTAGACAACGGCGAGAGGAAGCAACTGGATAGCGCGCACCCTTGGTCAGCATTGCGGACGGCTCTGCGTAATAGTGGCAATATGGGGCCTTCTCGCGGTCCCACGCGGGGAACGACGATGGTGATGGTGGCAGTGCTCTCTAGCGTGAGCAAAGACAAGCCATCGTGCACGGCGCCGCCCCATGGATGCTAACTTGACGGACGCACGGCGGACAGCAGTCGGGGAGCCTGTGGGGCGCGAAGGAATGGATGGATTGAATGACGGATCAGCAGTTACGTACATCTTGGGTTGCGCAGAAGGCTTGTTCAAGAGCCGCAATGCTCTTGGCTGCCAAGTCGTCAAGGGAACACGGGGTCTGCGACACGATGGAGCGACGTAGAGTGGAGACCCTTTGTATGTGGGAAATGTCGAGTATCCTCAACAGCCTCTGAAGATTGATGTTCAGATGCAGCTTGAAGAGTGAAGACAAGTTGTGTGCGGAAGAGCTAGGCCAGCAATGCTTGGGGTCGTCGCCAGCTATACAAGAAAGTTACCCGCGGAGGGAGGCACCGTGCTCACACTACACGATGCACACCATACGCGGATCAACCTATGCGGATCCCCGATGCTGGGTCGCTAGGCTGTTGTTGCGTTGCACACTTCTTTTCGTCCGCCTACTCGGCCTAATCCCATGCGAGCCTGTCTCCCAGTATCGCTCCGACGGTCTGTCGAAGCTTGCCCTAGGTAAAACCGACTAGAGCACGCGCTATGAAGCTTGCGAAACAATTGTTGTGGTGAGGAGAACCATAAAGCGTCAGTGAGTTTGCTGCAGGGCTGACAAGTCTGGCGCCAGATGCTATTCATGTTTAGCCATTGGCGAGTCGACAGGCCCACCGCGGTCTCGATCACGCCGTCCCCGTCCTAGCGTGAGATCGTTGCTAAGCTTCTGTGCCAAGGAGGTCATCAATGCTTATCATATGCTATTAGTGCGAAACAGCCGGGCATCATGCTTCACGTTTTGGAGGGGAAAGATCACACCACGGTGATGATGCGTTCTCTGGTGGGGGGCGTCCGGGCGGGATCCACAGACCGCCAAAAGCTCCCACATGTGACAACACCTAACGCGCGTCCATTTAAAGTAGAAATGCATTAAGCAACTGCCTCACCTTTTGCACGTCCTTAATAATCGGTGCGAGCGCTGGCTTGAAACCAGTTCGCCAATCGTAATACATGATAGGTAGAATTGCGTGCGAGTCACATAGTCGAGTTACTATGGTCTCAATCTACTTCCTCACGAGTGTCTCAATTCTGCTTACTTCAAGAAAGTTTCCAATTACCTGAGAAGTTCCTCGCAATTCCTCGTACGCTATATACCTCATATAGATTCGATCCACGGTCAGTTAGCCTGCCAAAAGTGTACATAGTTCACTTCCCATAGTATGCATTAGCTATCCCCTCACTGGACTTCCACACTTGCTCAATTCTCCTCTTTCAGTCTTCTTTAGCTCCTTCTTCTCCCGTATCCTCTGCTTCTACTTAAGAACCTGATGCTGCTAGATGTCACTAAGGCTAGCTGGTCCGCTTCCCTCGTAAACGCAATCGATGATCTGCTGTTGGTTTACACAATGTTGGATAGCAATGTGGACAAAGAACGCAAAGGGCTGATACATGACTTGAGGCAGGGGGTGTAAGGCGAAGTTCCGTGTTGGTGAAGTTGTCTTGTATCATGCCCAGTTCTCCTCATTTTCGTTGAGCAGGCTGGGCAAGTCTACTTCCACTATCGAGGTGCGTTTCTCGACCGACTTAACACCCTCACCGTATCTCTTGTCGACATGACGAGAAGTTCTCATTCATTGAGAAAGGGCTAATTTTATTGCTCCATGTCTATTGGGTGGAAATTCCAGGTCTCTGTTGAATGGGTTGATGTGTTGCTTTGGATAGAGGTAGATGCAAGCTTTGCTGATGAGATTGTCGACGTTTGCGCCGATAAAGAAGTACTTAGGTAGGTTTCGCCGCCAAAAAACGGCTTTCAGCGTAGATCTATGTATGTCAATAAGCCCATGATCAAGAAGCCGTGAAACATGGTATGGTTGTTTGTGGCTCTTCCACACAGGCAGTATATACGTTCCGAAAGCGTTGTCGTCTATTCGTAGGCTCTAGTGATTATTTCCCAACGATTAGCAAGGGGCAGTGCTAATCTCTAGGGAGCCTTTACTAGGCATCTCTAAATGTCTAATCAGAAGAGTAAGCCTTTAAGATAAATGGAGACTTTGCCATTGTCAACATCGTATCTAAGGTCAGCCGTGCCGATAGCACCCTCATACGTTGTATACCATGTATTATGAGACGCACAGAAGGTACGAATTATTTGTTATCGAGTTCTGCTACGACAGCATGCCCATGAAAGCTCGCATGCGAGCCTTGGGCGAACATACCACAATAAAGACAGATTGAGCAAACACGACAATGGATCGACATAGACGCTGTGGCACCCGGCGTGGATGCGATCGAAAAGCAGACAATAGAGAAGCCACAGCGAGTGCTCACGACTCTGCGTGACCGAATGGCTGTCATGCTAGGGCCAGTAAATTCTTAAGTGTGTGGAGATGATGGTAAGCAGGATGATGACTCAGTATGTGGATAGAAGAAGCACGGACTGACGTCGTGTAATGAACTTTTCGCGGCAAACAAACTAACGGCTCGCACACTTTCAGTATCCATCCTGTCACAACATCTCGATCTCTTTACTTCTCTCTAGGTCTTCCTGTGGGGTTTATTTTGTATGTACGAATGAAGATAATGAAACTAGTTTCACGCTCTCTTCCATCTCGCACATTTGCTCTTGCTCGCCTCATTCCGTCGCGCCTGTCTCTAGCAACTAATATAAGATATAGCCACACCTCAACAGTCGTCCCCCTCACTCAACACAGACACTACACCCGACTTCCAGCACAACCCTCAGTCATGTCTGCACCACCCAAGCGCAAATGGCCTCGCGGCCGAGGCGGCGGCGGTGGCGGCGATCGTGCGAACGGTGCCCCTGGGCGCAGCGGGCCCACGAATCCTCGCTCAACCATGTCGCAGCAGCCAAAACGTCCCAGAGTTGAGGATTCGCAGGCGAAAGCCGAAACCGGTGTCGACGTGCGGCAGATGTACAGCACCGCGGCTGGCGATGCGGCACCGAAGCCTTTTTCCGATCTGAAGAACAAGCTGAATCCAGCCTTGCTGAATGGCTTGGATAAGATGGGATTCGAGTAAGCAGACGTCTTTACACATTGCTCTTTGACGGCGCCGTTGCTAACTGTTGCAGATTCATGTCTCCAGTCCAACAAAAGGTCCTCACCGAGCTACCCACACTATCCTCCGACTGCGTTGTACAGGCAAAGACAGGTACGGGCAAGACCGTGGCCTTCCTGCTCCCTGCGATTCAGAACCTCCTAGCGGGTAATATGCCTAGAAGAGGCAAGGTCGCCATCCTCGTCGTCTGTCCCACGCGCGAGCTGGCTCTACAGATAGCGAAGGAGTGCAATGGCGTTACAGCGTGTCTGCCCCAGAAGATGGAGTGCCACACTGCGTTTGGCGGTACTTCTCGTGCCTCGAATCTCAAAGCCTTCATGAATGGTAATCCTACCGTTCTGGTCGCCACCCCTGGTCGTCTTGACGACATCCTAGGCGAAGAGCAAGTTCGCGAGAAGTTTTCTGATTTGAAAACGGTCATCCTCGATGAAGCGGACCAAATGCTTGATGCCGGATTTGCACCTGCGGTCAAAAAGATCCTGAGGCGCATCCCACCAAAGAACGATGGCTGGCAAGGAATGTGTTTCTCTGCTACATTGCCCAAAGAAGTTCTCGATATTGCCAAGATTGTCCTGTTCCCTGGTTACACACACCTCTCGACAGTCGACCCGAACGAAGTGCCGACCCACGAGCGCGTACCGCAATTTTTCTACTCTGTTCCCACTGTTGGTCAAACTTTCCCTGCGTTGTCGGCTTTGATCGAAGAGGAATACAATCAGAACCCTGCCGACTTCAAGGCCATTGTCTTCGGTACCACCGCGAACGGCGTTGGTCTACTCTACGATCTATACAGAAATGCGCTGCCGCAGTTTAAAATGTTTGAGTTGCACAGCCGCATGTCCCAGCCTGCTCGTACGCGCACAACTCAGGACTTCAAGGATGCTCAAAGTGGCATTCTGTTCGCATCTGATGTTGTCGGTCGAGGCATGGATTTCCCCAATGTTGGTCTAGTTGTCCAATTGGGTCTTCCCTCAAGCACTGACCAGTATGTTCATCGAGTTGGCCGAACGGCTCGTGCAGGCAAAGATGGGCGCGCTGTTCTCCTTCTCTTCGAGCAAGAAGCCTTCTTCCCCAGGATCAACAAGACGTTGCCCATCAACCCTTACCCTGTCGACCTCGTATCACGTCTTCCCTCGCACCAGGCGAACATCGACCGAGCTTTCGTTAACGTCGATGAAGTAGCCAAGTCAAAGGCGTACCAGGCATTCCTTGGTTACAACAAGACTTTCGTCAAGAAACTGCAGATCAGTACAGCGGATTTGGTTCGTCTTGCAAATGATTATGCGAGGACGATGGGCTGCCCAGAGCCGCCTATGTTGGAGAAGTCGACCGTTGGAAAGATGGGCTTGAAGG